GGGTGCTTGTGTGTCCTGGGGGGGGGGGCGCAAAAATGGCCATAAAATTTTCGCTACTACCCAAGCCTCAATTATAGAGGGTTTACGGGGGGCCTCAGGAAGACAATGGGTTAATACGAGTTTTTATCCCAGTCATGCACGTATACACCGTTTCCTTGGATGCCCCAAAGCAAAAACCACAAAATTCATCATCCTTTTTCTTTTTTTCAGAAGCTGTATCAGCAAGTTACTCAATCAAAAATCGAACGACATCCGCACTGTTGACGGTTCGAGTAAGTGATATTTCGGAACAGAATCTAGTTCCTTTGATATGAATGTAATCTAGTAATATTATTTTTTTCTGTGTTGGTGTTATGTACTCAGGTGAACATGATGCTTGTGATGTTACTCTGAGTGTATATTCACACCGGGCGAGCTTGAAAAATATGCCCGGCCATGGTGAGAATAGAACCTACGGCCTTTGGAATACTAGCCCAATACTCTGCCAACTGAGCTACGCGGTCAAACTATACTCGAATAATGACGTCATTTTAATGAGTGCGTATCCCAATATCTCCCAAAAGCAAACACTATCAAAATTCAAAAGTGGCTGCCGGGTATTCTATAATCGCTCCGTGGTCCGATCCGATGCACACCTCACTGTCCGATCCGATGCACACCTAACTGTGGTCAGTGAATTGCGGGGGCCAGTCTTAAATTATTAAAATGAACAAAAGCAAGTTTTTGGGCTTCTCGTTTGGGAAGAAAACAGTGGTTGTGCAAGCATTTAAGTTCATTGATTCAAAGGCTATTTGAAAAATGTCCCGGATAAAAGACTTTAAACTGAAATCGGACAATTATGAACTATTTATTTATACGACGAAATATTTACGAAATATTTACGACGTCGGCTACGCCACTACCTGAAGGTAATGAATCACTGACCTCAAATATAGGCTGGATTGCGCAAGTAGGAAAAAGCTAAAGTCTAGTACCTGTATATGAGTTTGTATGTGTTTCATTTAGGACAGGTAATCTCAACTGTTTTAGGGTAAAATGATTATGGCGGTCAACATGGCATATGTGCCAAAACCTGAATGCGTGACGAAAGTCCTGAAAATGACCCCGCCCTGAAACGGCAGTATCGACATAGCTCTAACTTCCGAAAAGGAAAAGCAATTAGCCAGTCCAATACATTTCATAGTAAATATCGGATTTTCGAAAGCTTATTATTCGAAGGGTATTCATGTAAACGTCTTCAAACTTTGTATACTTGCTAATTTTTAGGTGGTCTTTTTAGTGATTTGGTTCATTTTTTAATTTGGGCACTTTTTAACACTCGTTCCCAGTCCACTCATCAACTTCGGAATGGCTAATAGGCTTTCTGAAGTGCTTATAGTGTTTAGAAGGGTTGGTTTTAGGGGTGGTCATTGGAAGGAAAAATTTGTCTAAGTATAATATTTTACAAGCCGAAAATGACCATGTACCACCCCAGGTAAATTGCTAATTATGCACATAATGACTACTAAATCTAATAAATTTTGGAACAGAAAGAAAAAAAGATAAAAAGGAGCTTTATTCACATGACCTATTTACATGTATTGCTAAAGCATTCAAACGAATGAGTAACTACAAAGTGACTATATGACCGGCAGCCGGTCACGGTTTATCAAATACTAAATGGGCGGCAGTCTAGTGACTAGAGTTAAATATAAATACTTTTGTTTGCGTTAGCATTTACCGAGTTTGCTGTTGGCGTATTCGGCAAAGGCGTTACGTGCGGAAAGTGAAACAGGAGGATCGGGATGTGTTTTGTCTGACTTAGCATTGTTTTTCCTTAAAATTTTTTAAACTTTTTTCCGGCTTTTCTCACTCTCAAAAGGTTATAAACAAACGTACTTGCAGGTTCGGTGAGTCCGGGATTGGACGCACCATAGAAATAATAGACATAGAATGCGTGCTCCTATCTTTTCTCAGTAAAAAAATTGTCTCCACAAAATGGCGCATTGAAAAGGGCATTTTAGTTGGTCCCAGACTCCTGAGGCAGGGAATTTCGCGCGGTTGCAGGGAGTGCGAATTGGTTTTTCAAATGAAAAGTTTGCAAAAAATTTTATATCGGGACTTAAAATGGAATAAAAACTTTGATAAACTAAGAAAATTTGTCTAAGAACCCATTCCAGTGGGTTTTTTACGAAAAGCAATAGTTCTCAACAGAGTATATGCGGAAATCGTCGTTTAAAAATAGATTTTCAACGTTATGTTGTTGTGCAAGCCAAAACAAAACACGAAAGATCAAGATAAACTCAATTACCCTGGTTCCAGAGGTTTATTTTTATTATTTTCATTGCGAAGGGGAGAGAAAAAATAAACCTCTGGTTGAAAGCGGCAATTGATTCATCGAGCCGCGCCAATCAGTTTGAATTATGGTCAGATCCTGACTCTGTCTCCTGATTGGATGATTGTATTAAAGCTCTCTGATTGATTAAAATAAAACATCTATAACCAATCAGAAAGCTTTAATACAATCATCCAATCAGGAGACAGAGTCAGGATCTGACCCTAATTCAAACTGATTGGCGCGGCTCGATGAATCAATTGCCGCTTTCAACCAGAGGTTTATTTTAAACCTCTGGAACCAGGGTCAAACTCAATAGGTATGTTCTACAAATATTTCAACTCTTTTATAATATAAATGGAGTTCAATAATCTTTTTAAACTTACACAATTATATTTCATATTTTTTTACGTTGCTTGAGCTTTTGAAACCATAATTTTCGACGATTATTTTTAGGCAATTTAAATACAGTTTATCGACAACTAAATATTTTTGTTTCAAGAACATGAAAACACTTCGTTTATACATTGAAGAAAAACGAAACCCAACGAAGAAAGACTATCATTTTGTAATTTTATAAGATATTAGCAAAACAGTTACGTTCAGAGCATCCAAAAATGTTTTATGAGTAAATTATATTTTCGCGAATTTACTTTGTTTTTACAAGGTCAAGGCTGCACGATTTTCACCGTTTTATAACTGCACATTTGCTTTGACAGTTTGTGCCTTCAAGGAACTCAAAATCTATACCCAAACTACAAATTAGACAAGAAGGCAAAACGTTTTGACGATGAAAACGTAGTTTTAGCTTTGGTTATGCTTTGTGGTTTGCACTCCTGGCCAAAATTCAAAATGGCGCATTCAAAAGGGCACGCACAGTGAAAAAGTGGAGACATGATTCGTCATGAGCACGCATTCTATGCCTATTATTTCTATGGTCCAATCCCGGACTCACCGAACCTGCAAGTACGTTTGGTTTTTATCACATACACCGAGCCAAACACACATTTGTAGCTCTTCGCGATATATTCGTCGATGTTTTGTGAACATTTTCCCGGCCAAAAAAATCACTGGGCAGGAAAATACTTCTTTATCTACGTCTACATTACCTTTACTGCATTTTTTCTTTCGTTTTTCTTCAGTCTCAGTATGTTAGTCACCGAAAAAAGTTCTTTAAAGTTTAGGTTTATCGGCTAAATCTTGTCCGCCATATTTGTTATTGTTATTGCAACGTGAGCAGTTTAGCGGGTGAGTTCGGCGAAAAGCAGGTGAGCTCGACGACAAGCTCACCTGCTCTAAACCAATCAGAAAGCCGCTTTTAACACAGGTATGGGATAAGAAGGGTTAGAGACGGATTTGGGGTTAGGGATTGGTTTATCCCCGAGCCAACGGCGTGGAGCGCCGTTCCGGGCTTAAGCCCGGGGCGAGGGTACTAATCCCCCCCTCGGCTATTTACACCCGGGGGGGGGGGACGAAAGCATTAGCGAAGTCTAAAGTTCATCAATGAACGCGGGCGTCAGTCACCAACAACGTCGGTCACCAACGATGAGTGGGAGGTCATAGTCACAGAGTAGAGACATACAGAGACATAACTACAGTGTACCCACTTTTTTTGTGCGCATGCTCGGCAAGTTACTAGATGCATGCATCTGATTGGATGACGACCTGATGACGACTCACTTGAAACTTGCTGAGCACGCGCAGTTGATCATTTTTCGCTCGGTCGCATGAAAAAAGTGGGTACATGATAACGTAATCTTCCGCAGTGTTTACAACGGTCAGTTACGTCTCTGTATGTCTTATCTACTCTGTGTCATAGTGGTGGTCATCCTCACCACCATAGAGATTATAAATAACACTAGAGGAGGCATCGAGTTTAAAAATTGGGAACGCAGCTAATGGGGGGCAAATTCAAGTCCCGGCTATAAAATCGTGCTCTCATTGGCTGATTTGAAACTCGTCACCAATGGGAACACGAATACACATCCGGGACTTGAATTTGCCCCCCAATAGTCGCGTTCCCTTTTTTTTGCTGAATTAAGATTACAATGCCTCCTCTAGTGTTATTTATAATCTCTATGCTCACCACAGAGTAGAGACATATGTCTTATCTACTCTGTGTCCTCACTGATCTCAAAAATATGGCTGATTGCTTGTGGGAGTGGGATGAGCCAGATTTCAATTTTAAAAGACAAATATTTGGAAAATCGTTTCATACACAACAAGCTTGAAGCAATTTTGTTTGAAGAAATGAGAAGAATTGATTTACTAAGGGAAATCGTGAAATATACGGCAAGTTTACTTTGAATATTTAATATTTAGTATGTTTACGAATGTTGTTGCTTTAAACTTCTTGCCTAAAAACATGAACTGTTTTCCTTTTCAACGACGCTTTAAGTTTCATAAATTACCGTTTAATTTGAGAAAAAATCTTAAAATGTGAAGGAGAACAAATGGATTTGAACACTGAACTGAAATTACCTAACAATTTGTTTTATTTGTAACTTAATAGTTAATATTATGTTTTATTATTAGTTTATCGGCAAATGAACTATAGTTGAATGAACATTTCAAAACATTTTACGAAGCGTTTCAAGTTAAATTTTACACTCCTCACAAAATGCAAAACAATATACCTACAGTATATATTTTGGAAATTTATTGTTGTATAGTTAAAAGTACGAATCTTTCAACTATTTTGCAGTTTTGTACAAAAAATATGAAAAACAATTAACAATTTAAGGATATCGTGTTGTCATGGCAACACTTGAGCGCGAGCCTGCGTTCAGTGGGCCATTTCAGAATACTTCATGTTAATT